GCAAGGTCCAAGGGGTGCACTGCCTTGCTGTAAGCTCTGCTTTTAACAGAATGCCTTGATCTGCCTTCAAAATCAACCCTAGATGACCCTTCAAAATCAACAAAATCAATGTCTAGACCTAGCAAAATATGTAGTCTTTACTACAGCTAATGCTACCTGGGAGTTGTTGTTACTTTTCTTTTCAAAAACAATGTATAGCCCAACATGTAAACCCAATACATATAGTCCATACACAGAAATGCACATGAAAGTGTAGTCCTTAGACATGGTGCTTTAACACAAGTTTTAAACCCAAACCTTTAGATCACTGTGTCTGCAAATAACACATTTCACATGGCACTATAGGCAGCATTTGATTTCCTTGAGGTGATCAATTACTTCCTTAATCCATAAATAAAACCTTCTGCATGCAAGACCAAGTTTGCTTGCACACTAATTTTACAGGCAGTGACCCTGTCAATTGGCATTTCACACTAATAGATTATCAGGGAAGGTGTATCAGATGTAACAAAATCAAACCTACAGAGAAAGAGGAGAGTGACATCTCCGTGCAGCCTGGCAGAGGTGACACCTTTCAAAGCCCCTGAGCTGCTCTCAGGCTCTGTCCTTAGCAGTTGGTAGGTAACAGAATGGAAAAGGCATTACTGTCACACTTAAATATAGAAATACCCAGTTATTTGCACTGCTCCAGTGATTCTAAAGTAGGAAGAGTTTAAATTAAGAGGATTTTAGTACTCTTTCCTCCGTGTTTAGCCCTTCCACGGTGTTCTGCATGTTCTCCTAGACCCTCTATAGCACCAAGTGTGTAATATACCTGACACACACTTTGGGCATCTTCCCTGACACAGAAGTCTAGAGTCTGTCAGTGGATATTTGGCTTAACAAGGTGAAACACTTCTGAACAACCTCAGCAATTTTTATCAAGGTGTTCACATAAAGATTTTTGATGAATGTAGAGCAGAGATAATGGTATCTCTTTAAGGAGACAAGGAATCTCCGATTCTCTTAAACCTATGTGGCTTCTGTGCTTTAGTCCTTCCAGCAGTTTCTCTCATTGCAGTGGTGATACAGCTGCTAAACCCTGCTCCTATCCAACCCCTGCTGCTGCTGTAGCACGGGTGCAGCTGTGGTCACCCAGCAGGAGATGGAACCTGCTGGCACCAATGACGGAATGAGCATGAAGCATGGGCTGACAGCAGGAAGCCATGGGGACTGTGCTGAAAGGTGTAAAAACGGGTTCACCCAACTCCCAGGAAAATAAAATCTATAGTCTGGTTTGTTTAATGCTCTCCAGGAAGAGGCACCACACATGAAGTAACAGACCATAAACTATAGAGAATTTTACAATGCATTTCTTTTCCCTCTACCTAGCAGTCAGACTCAGGAATCATGTCCCAAATGTTTTATTTTTTGATGGAAGGAAGACGAAAGTCAATTTCCAGTGGTGGGGGATAGAAGCTAGAGTATGTGATGAGAAAACCCAAGCTCTATGGATAAAGCTCTATGTGTTTTATTCAGAGTCTACTGAAAACTAGGCTCTGTTGTTTTATTCAAATGGTGTATTAGGAAATGAACATACACAAGCAAACCACTGTACCAGAACGTGTCACAAGCTTTTTATACAGATTCACAGTGATAAATAGATACAAAGACATTCCCTTTGATCTATACCAGCTACTTATGAAGAATACAAAGTGCAGCTTTGTAGTACCATACAGGCTCACCCAGAGGTATCTCGCCAGAAGTCTGGTACATAAACAACTTCTTTTAAAACAGAAGTTTCCAAAGTGTGACAAGCACTAAAATTGCTTAATCCAGATCACTGGGACAGCATTGTTGGCACAGGATCCTCTTAATGTCCATTCCCACCTTCTGAGAGGATACGAGATGGCTCCGTGTACTTCGCTGTCATCAGGTAGAAGAGAGCAGGGGCAGGAACCAAGGCAAGCAATGGCAGGTCCTGCTCAAGCTTATCCAGTTTAGAAATAGAGATGATTCCATAGGCATGAAGTAACCAGTGGCTGAAGAGGACAACAAGCCTTTTCTTCCTCACAAGAAGATCCTTGAAAGACTTGGAAAATAAACACAATAGCCTGTTAGCATTCAGCCTGTGACCCAGTTCCTGATGTTCAAGAGATGTTAAGTACAGCACAGAGACCACGTGAAGGCTCCTGAGTTTGAGCCCTTCCAGTACACACAGAGTTTCTCAGTGCACCAGGAGAAAGAATCACAGAATTGAGAGGGAAGTTTCACAGGAGCTTCCCTCCAGCCGAGAAGAGAAGGCATAAAGGAAGAGGCTTAAAGGCAGAATACACTGCTGAGAAAAGGCAAGAGACAAAGTGGTCTCTGCTCATTCAAGTCTTTTATACTCTGAGTTTTAACACAGGAAATGTGTGTACCCACCTCCACTTCAGAAGCAGACATGTACACAGCTAGTGTAACCAAAGACAGCACCAGTATGATGTATGGGAAGGCATAATCTAAAGGAAAGCACAGAAAACATTAGCAGGAAAAAGAATGCATGATTTGCAGTTCAGCAGAGAGAGTTTTTCCACCTATAACCACAGGTATGAAGCAAACTGAGCTACTCCAGCCCAACTCTTAGCATGAAATCACACATGCACAGCCCTAAGGGTCAGCCAAGCACAACTCTCAGTTCCCTCTGAGGTTTTTGAACTTCTACTGTTTCTTGGTGGAGTTACTGTACACTTAACCCATGGCTTGAAAAAGGAAGATAATGAGAAAAGGAGTCAGGCTGAGCAGGGATTTTGTGTCACCTCTCTACAAGACGAGAATACTGGAAGCTAAACTAAAAATAGCCAATCTCCCCAAACTTACACTGTAATCCATCTCTGAAATCAAACTCTGCCCTGGCAAGAAGTGGAATTAACTCCCTCTGAAGTAATTTCCTCTCATATCCCCTCTATTCCCTTTGTGGGAAAGGAACAGCCTCTAGCAGCACCAGCAGAGGCAAAGCAGTGCTGGTTGGGAGCCTGGTGAGGACAGAGCTACTAATGAGGAACCTTTCCAGGTGAGACTTCCTCCTGGAAGCTATTTAGAGATGTGTTTATGAGAGACAACTCACAGAGCAGACCTCCTCCAACAGCCTGCAGCACCGTGAGGATAGGGAAGAAGTACAGTGCAGCATAAATGCTTTTAAATCGATCAGACTTTCCTAAGCCACAGGCAATCTTCTTAACCAGGAGAGGCCGAAGTAGCATCATTAACACAAGGCAGAAGGCATAATATATAAACACAATGGTGTACCTGGAAATAAACAGAGAAATTCCTTAAAAATGTGGGTTTTTTCAAGAGATTCAAGTCACAAGGAGTGAATTTGGGGTTAGTCAGTGAAGTCTGCAGAATGTATAATCAAAGGATGTAAACACAGAATGATGGGGTCACTTTTCCAAGGGGCAACAGTCAAGATGCAGCAAAGGAAAACAAAAAGAAAACAGGAAATTTTAAGCTTCATAGGTAGATGGCGATAGGATGAGAGGACATAGTCTCAAGTTGTGCCAGGGGTGGTTCAGGTTGGACATCAGGATGAATTTCCTCACAGAAAGAGTGATTAGACATTGGAAGGGGCTGCCCAGGGAGGTGGTGGAGTCACCATCCCTCGAGGGGTTTAGGGAGATACTGGATGCGGCACTTGGTGCCATGGTCTAGTTGACATGGTGGTGGCCAGTCAAAGGTTGGACTCCATGATTTTAGAGGTTTTTTCCAACCTAACTGGTTCTGTGATCTGTGTGACAGCCTGGACTCTGCCACCTTCCTTAGTTACTCAGAAAGTTATTAAGTTGCTAAATGTTTCACATATAAAACAGCTCAATGCATGAAGGACTTCAAGGGGTCAATAGTCACTGGTCTGAGTTGAACACATCTTGCAGCTCTGAGAAGAGCACAGACAGAAACACAGTTGTACAAAAAGAAGGGGCAGAGAGGAGTACAAAAGCCTTTCCACTCACAGGGGATACACAGCCTCATGGGTGCAGTGCACTGTGGTGATGTAGTCAGGACTGGGGTTGTAGAGCATCGTGTACCAGTCCGAGAGCTTCTTCACCCTGCAGGAGCGGATGTGCAAGGAGCCCACAGGGTCGCTGACCAGCAGAGTGATAACAGCTGCAATGCTGCACTCCAGCAGGGCTGTGATGTGCTGCAGCAGAGCACTGGAACTGGGGAAGAACAAACACAGTGACTAGCTTGCTAATTCTGGAGGAAAACTAAGCACTGACTGAAAAGAAGAGGTCTGTGCAGTACAGAACCTTCTGTGATCGAGGTTAGGATAACTCTGCTCTATAAAATGTAAAGGGTATAAATTGAAAGGGGAAATCTAGATTAGATATTAGGGAGAAGATTCTTCCTGGGAGGGTGGTGAGGCATTGGCACAGGTTGCCCAGGGAGGCTGTGGCTGCCCCAACCCTGGCAATGTTCAAAGCCAGGCTGGCTAAAGCCTTGAGCAACCTGCTCTGGTGGGAGGTGTCCCTGCCCAGGGCAGGGGGTTGGACTAGATGATCTCCAAGGTCCATTCCAACCCCTTAACATACTATGACTCTATGAAACAAGCTATCTACAGAAGAGACACACAAACCTCTTCTTTCCAGAGTACCACTCAATGAAGAACCAGTGTAAAACCAGGGGAAGCATAGCCATGAAGCCAAGGTAGAGCCAGTCGTAGCGATCCGGAGATCCCACGCATTCCCGGCAGATTTTGTTGTCATCAGTTCTTTGGCCTCTAGGACATACCTGAGGAAAGCAGAGATTGTAGTTACAGTCTGAGCACCAACAGCAAATCACTGTAGCTCCTGGAAAAAGCAGCTTGAAGCAACACTTGGGCAAAAACCAGATTTTTAAAGAGATGAAACAATGACCTCAGTAGTTTCTCAGCTGACATAGGCCTCTCTGCCTCTGGCTTCTTAATATAAACAAAGGTAAAGCATGATCCAAAGGCTTCATCCAAGGCTCCATTTCCTCTCCTGCTGTCACCCCACCTCCCTCACCAGGCTGCTCACAACCACTGTCCCCCACAGCTCCACATTCATTCCACCCTCCCTGGGTCTTGCTCTGCCTTAGCACTCCAAAATCATAGCGCACAGCGATTTCAGCACAGCTCTCCACAGCATCCCGTTCTGTCCCAGCTTTTCCAGCCCCTGCACTCAGCTGGGGTTTGGCACTGACCTCCAGCACCTCCCTCGGGGGATGTGTGATGGAGCAGCTCCTGTTTTGGGAAAGGAGCTCTGCCCGCTCTGCAGCCCCACCACCACCCGACCCCAATCCCCCGGCTGGGCTGCAGGCCGCGGTGCTGCTTGCAGCG